TCATTCATATTAATATTTGACTATGACAGATTATTAACTCAACTGCATTTGAAGTATGAAGAAAAGGTGCTTTAAGGTTTTTTTTTTTAAATATATTTATAAGACAAACTATGCAACTTGAAAACAAATTTGAAGGTTGGATGATTAGTTTATGTCTTAACACTTTAGAATTTGCATGGATATAAAGAGCGGGCCATTTCACTCTCTAATTTTCACTGAACTTGAGTTGACTCCTCCACGTTCACCATGGCAACTTCAATGATCAGCACGTACATGGGCTCTGAAGTATGCTGCCAAAACTTTCCAACCTTAATAATGAATAGGTATGAACTCCATTATATAAGCCTCTCTCAACAAGTCACTGCAAAGCTCATGTAATTCTAGAGAGGTATTGCTTTCTCACAGCACACAACTGTGAAGGTCTAATCCGAAACTGCAGTCTTACGGGGACATTAGTGTTTTCCCCTGCTAAAACCCTGTTGGTTCCCTTCTTACCCTGACATTGAGCAATATCACTTGCTTTGCATGCTCTCGGTTTAAACAAAGAAAGTAGCACTGGAAGGCAAATATTGCTGGAGCAGACAACTTTGGTTTAATGCATCTTTTCCTTTAGTAGGAATGCAAGCCTCAGCTGCTCTAATACTTAACTGAAGCAGGTCTCCGTTTGAGTCTCTGTTTAATCGCTCTTTTATCTAGGCCAGCTGCTGCTCCTGCTGCTGCCATAGCCGTTCCTAATTGGAAGCGAGTTGCCTTAGTATCCTATCAGTTTAAACCGGCAGGATTGCTACCTAGAACCTGCACCCCAAACTGGCATCAGAAATAGCTCCTTTATAAATAGTACTGCAGTAGTTTATCAAAAGAGATAAGCTTTTAGTATATAATTTTATTTCAGTCTTGTACCGCTAGGTATTTTATCAGACTACTTTTACATGAACTGAGGCTTGATCATTGATTTCATAACGAAAAAATGACTTTGGTTCTACTTCATATTACTTAAAGCCTTTCCCATAAATTAGTCCTCTTTTTTAACTTACTGAGAAAATTTCATACTCAAGGATAGTTATTATTCCTTCCAGTTAACTATTTAGATAAGTTTAATGATCTATTGATGATTATTAAAGTGAACTGGAAAATATTATGCAGTTATATTTCCGTTAGAGCTACTGAGAAGACTCGAAATCAAAGCCTCTTTCCAAGTATCATTTTTTTTTTCAAAATAAGATTGCTGTAGATCCAATTGGTAAACACAACATTTGTATAAGTTCAAAATTTGATCAGTGCAACTGTCTTTTAATGTTTTACAAAAGTATCACATTAGCCATGATGACAAGGCACCTTCAAAAGTTATACTGGTTATTACTTTTCTGTGGCCCCTTTTGAGACAAACGGTCTTACTGGACATTGATTTGTTTAGTTTTAACAAATAGAACTTCAGATAAGGGACAAAGCAAACTGTGCAATCATGTATGCACCGAGAGCCACTTGTATTGGCAAAACAAATATAATAGGACTGAATTTTTTGTTTAAACAAATGAATTGTATTAAGTGAATCTAAAGCCTCAGTGAAAAACATTTCTTTTACACAAATATGCACATTGAACCCTGTGCTGGCATTGAAGATGGAGTTCAGTAAAGCCTCCAAACACCTCAGTAACACCCCTTCTCTGAATTACTTCAAACCAGTTGGGACTTGATGAAAGAACGCGAGGTATAAACCCCTTGAGGGCCTATGAGTCACCATCTAGAAAGGCTCTTGAAAGGGTAAGAACATTTTATAGTTTGATCAATAGGAGTCTGAGAATAGGCTGCAGGATAAAGACAAGTTGAGGATTAAAAACTTTTGGAAACTTGAAGAATTGAATTATTCTCCTAAGGAAGTTCCCAGGAAAAAAAGAGAGAGAGAGAGAGAAAGGAAGACTTTTTCATCAGATCTCAAGCAGCAACCTTTCTGTTGGGTCAGAATTCAGCTAAAATAGATTTGATGGTCATCAGCCCTTGTTATCTTAGTCTTGATGCAGAACTGTGACACCCAAAGTGCCTTTTAAGGACCAAGTTCCTGTCGTACAGTAGTTTTGGGTCCATGTCAAGAGGAGGTTGAGGCAGTGTTGGAGACTTCAAAATTAGAGCAGCTTTTCCATAGAATATTTCATTGAAAGAGACCCTTATTCAATTTTTTTAGCCAGTATAAGCTTTTACTTTGAAAACGTATGAAGTGGTGTGGGTAGTTGGGGCTTCCTTTCTCTTGTCACTGTTATTTTAATATAAGTTAAAAATCTGTTGCATTAATATGGTTATCAGGATTTAGATTCTCTTTGTAAAGGAGGCAGACAGTTCAATGCTGTGGCCACTGGAGCACATAAAAAGTAATAACTAAAGGAGTCTGGATAAGAATTGGTTCTAAGAGTTATTTCTAGTCTTTTGGGTTTTGCCCTATTCTTAGAAAATGTACAGAACCCTACCATGCGATAGAAGTAAACAAAAGCTGAGACTTTCAAGAACCACTGCTCATGTGCTGTGCCCAGCATGAGAATATCGGAGTGTGAACTTCTCCAGGCAAAGTCCATGGGCCTCTTTCCTGGATGACAGGGTAAAGGGTAGACCTGGTGACCATGAGGACAGAAGGTGGTGACATGGAAAGGTAAGCCCCAAGTAAGACTCGTGTCCTTAGAGTTGGAGTTGCATCTAGCACAAAGCTCTTTTTCCATTTTTCCTACTTGGGTTACACGGAAGAGGCTTTGTGTGGAGCAGTTCTTAGTACATCTAGTCAGAATTATGAGGAAAGCTGGTTTGCTTGATGAGACATTAAAGAGAGAAAGCTAGAGCCAACAGGAAGTGGGTAATTAAAAGAGGGAGATTGAGTAAGGTGGTGAGCACAGTCTAGATTGCTTCTGGCTTTGTACTAGTCCCATGCGAGCCTTGCCGGGACCTCTTACTCTCTTGTTTCTGTAATAGGTGCTCACTCCTGCAGAGAGCCAGCTAACTTGCACTTGAACCCTATGCAACAAGATAGGAAGAGCCTGTCACTGAGTGTCTTCTGTTCCTAGATCTTATTTTCTGGGTAAAGAGATGCAAGTGTCTGAGATACCATCTCTTCCCCAGGAACTTCCCAGGGAAGCAACCAGATGAACATTGCAGAGCATGGTGTTTCCCCGGCTACCACAAGGGTGATCATAGGGTTCGTACAAAAATATGAAACATTTAAAGCATACTATAAAAGACCTACTCATAAGGACATAAAAAATCTTCTATGCAAAGAGTCAGAAAAAATTACAGTTTTTTAATTGAAATTAGGTTGCATACTCATTTATGAATACTGAACCCAAAAGACCTAAGGTTTTTCCACTTTAGAGAACATCTAGAAATAGTCCAGGCTTCCCTCAATCTCCTTGGCTGGAAAACTTAACCTCTTCTCCCATTTGGAGCTTCTTGCAGTTTATGATTCTTAGTTCTGACTCTTTCTCTAATCCGCCAGTAGGAGAAAAAAAGTAGTTTAGGGCTATTCTGGAATATAGGTTTTTCTGGTCAAACCAGTGAAACAGCTATCACACCTGCTCTGTTAGGAACCTCTGCTCACATAACTGGGGTTCGAAGTCTGGACATAGCATCCAGCTGAATGGTACTTATATAGACCCTCTCCCCAACCTGATCCTCTGAGGCAGTCTTTCTTCTGAAACATTGCATATTTCTAAACGAGGAGAGAAAGAAGTGAAATAGCTTTCTGCCCAGGAATACTCCTTTGGAAAGGCCAACTTCAGACCTGGCAAAGATGCCTTCAGAGAAAGCAGTCCTGTGATAGTCAGGGTGAAGGGATTTGAAGTTGACAGAGGAATGCAGACTTAACTTTTCTCCGGAAAGGTGACTTTTTGGTCACATGTCTTACTTTTCATTAATCAGGAGTAGTGCTTTATAAAACAAAACAAAGCAAAACAACCTTCTGTTCCATGCCCCAGGCAGCTTCCTGTGTAAAGCAGTCTGTGGCAGCTTGTCCTGTGTTCTGGTCGGAATTTTGCCCTTGAACTCTGCTTGTGGGGCTTCTTGGATCGTCTTATGGGAACGGTTTACAGAGCTCTTGTTTCAGCCTGCCCGTTCTTTCCTGATATTTCCCTCAATTTCTTCTGTTCTCAGATCCTTCTTTAGAGGGTCATTTTGGATGGAAAAACTATAGGCGTAGGCTCAAAATGATGAGGTGTTTTCCTTCACAGCCTGGCAAAGCGATAACGTGAATAAGTGCTCCTGGGAATGGGGAAGGAAAGCATCAGCCCCCAGGTGTCCATGCACAGTGGGCGCCTTTCCTCTCAGTGACCCTTTACCTTTCTGCCGCTATAGTCACCTGCAGATCTCAGGGCTCTTTATAACTGCTCATTATTTTTAAGAACTAAATGTAATGAAGATATTGTTGTTTCTATTTACAGATAGGGAAACTAAGGCTGAAAGGAAAATTATCATTGGAATCAAATTCTGTCAGTTCTTTATTTCCCTCTTTGAAGCAAACTGTATTTCCCCTCAAATAAAAAATAAGAGTTATAGCCACTTAATGAGAAAAAAATCCATGTGCAATATTGTGCAGTGTTAAATTTGCAACTGTTATAGTTGGTGAAATAACTTTGTAATTTCGAGTGTCTGGATTCTTAAAACTAGGTGTGTTGAAAGACAGGTTCCCACCTAGCTTTCTTTCATGCATGTAAATTCAGTGCAAGCCTCTGTTTTAAGGAGCTTTATGTGGTTGGATTGACATTGCCTAATCAACAATTGAAAAAGTTAAGCATAGCCTAGAAGTCATTTAGAACTATGAGTCACTTCCCTGACAAGCCAATAAGGCAAGAGAACCTGGGTTGCAAAACAATTACTAGCCCAGCCTGAGGGACCCTGGAAATATATTACAAGTATCAGTTAGGGAAACAAAGCAGCAGTGTTTTACCAAGCTGCAGAGAACAACCTAAGGTTGCTAACCAAACAAAATAACCTTACACTGACAATGCCAATTTTTACATTTGTTTCAGAATCAGGGACGCTCAAACCACCCGAGGTAAGATTAACTCTTAAATTTTTATTATATAACTTTTGCATTTCAGGTTGTTGGCTAACTTAAGCAGGCTTGAGCTTTTAGAATGTGAAATGTGCTTCTTAAAATGGATAAAAACAGAACTAGAGTGAGCAACCAAGTGCTTGTGAATTAAATGCACAGGTTAAATCAGAGGAATTTTCAGTCAGTCACCGCCTGAAGATCTTAGGTAGAGGAAAAATGTGAATATTTAAGCATATCTGTGAAATGGAGCCTTTCAGAATCTTAGTACTTACGCAGGTAAATTTCAAATGTTGTAACAGTGTGTGGTACTGATATGGGGATACTTTTCTCTAGTTTCCTGCAGAATTCCACAAACCCCTGGAGTTTATAAAACTTAATGCATCTGTATTCATTGGAATGAAAATCTTTGATCCTGCTCATATAGAAGGAAGGTAGCCCTCATCCCAGGGAACTGGTAGACCTGTCCCTGTCATGAAACATTGCATTGCTGCCCACCATTTGCTAGTCCTGAAAAGTTCTAACATTGTTCATCTAAGGATATGGATTCATATTTCTAGTAGTTTTCTGTTTTGAGCACAAACATGATTTGTATCATGTCTTATTGATCAAAGCAAGATCTGATAACATTTTCTTTTGGTTTAACACAGTCTCGGGTCTAATGGCTTAGAACTGTGTGATCCTTCTCACCTCTCAGGATAAGCTATTTTTTTTAAAAAATATGAAAGAGTGAAAAATATAACAGGTTCTAGACCATTGCCTTGGCCTTTAACCAAAAGTAGCATATTTCTCATCTGACCTCCAAACTTCTCTGTGACCTTATCACAGAGAAAATTAAAATATAAAATGCATGTGATTACTTGTAGAAACCAAAAGTATAGTAACTTGAGAATTTCAAAGTAGAAGAATGACAGAAAAATTCTATACAAATTTATTTTAACAGATAATAATTATATATCATTAAGAGTGGTGTAATATTTTTTAATAGGCTGGCATTTATGCCATTGGTAAAAATAATGAAAAGTACTGTAAGACATCAAATAAGAAGTAATTGTTTCTGCTTCTCTTTTGCATAAGTGTGTAATTTGCACGTAGTGAGAGTGATGTGAGGGGGCTCATATGCACCCCTTCGGTGTTTCAGTTAACTATATTTTAAATTCTAGAGTCTAGATCAAGGAATAGTTCTTACAAGTTCTTCTAGGGCTAAAATAAATTAATGTGAAATTTCTTTCAGTGTTTAGTTGACCGGTGAAGTTTTTCATGAGGACTGTAAGGACGCTGCCTGTGTAAATCTTGTAGAGCAGCTTCCTTTCTCTTATCCTCATGCTATTCTTATATTATGGAGATCGAATTCCTCTTAGAGCTCTGAACTTTGCTACTTTACAAAAAAATATATTTTTTCCCAAACAGGATGATTTCACTTGATTTTATTTAAATGTAAGGTGAAGTGAGTATATTTATAGAAAGTGTGCTAATAAGAAGTGATTAATAATTTTCATATGATACTAAATAATTCTCTCCAGGCATTTTATCCTCTTAAAAAATTACATGAAAGCCTATTATGAAGTGAATTAATTTTCACATTGACTTTTTTTTTTAACTGCAGCATCAGTGATTTAGTGACTTGCTTAACTTTTGAATACAATAAGTGCAATTTTTTCTTTAATGTGTGATTCTGCTAATAATCTTTATTTTGGATGTGTAATTATAGTTACTGGCCAACCTATTTGGAAATCTTAGCTTGGTTTAAAGAGAAGTGTAACAAAAGAACATTAAGAAGCATCTGTTGCCTTATACCTCCCCACCAAGACTGTGTGTAAGCTGTTTACCTCTTTGAGGCAGATGCTTTATGATGCTCGGGAGTCTTCCCAGAAATAAACAATGTGCTCTGTGAGCTGCATCTCTCCCCCTCTCATGAAGACCTTCTTTCTCTCCATATACCAGTTTGTAGTCCTATTCTGTTCCCCTTTCGATAGCTATGATTGTGACTTTTCTATTTTTAATTTTACACTTCATTCTCAAGGGAAATAGGTCAGTTTTCAGTAGCCACAACATCTGTAGGCCTTCATGACAACACCTGGGATGTTCATCCCACGTCCCACTCTGGAGTGGACCTTCAGAAGCTGCCTCTAGCTATAGGAAGTAAGATTTTCATATGTATCCATTTAACATATATGTACTCTAAATCCATTCCTTAAAGGTTTTTCTACCTTTAAAACAGAGGAACGAAAGCCAGCTCCATAGCAAATTAACCTTTGCTTATTTTGTTGGTAAAATCAACGGAGAATTTAATTTCTCCCAAAAGGCAAGAAGAGATTCTTGGGTGATGAAAGTAGTTCTTTTAGAGAAAGACAGGTAATGAAGCAAGAAATAACTCAAATGCTTGTAAAATTAGGTTAGTTGGTTTTCCCCTCCCCTGCCCCTTCTAGGTTGATCAAAGAATATTGAGAAGGTTCTGAAGATCAATTCTCCTGATCTCATGGGGCTTTTCCCAGGCTTTTGAGAATGTGGGTGGGGAAGGGACTGTGTTGGATGGAAAATGACAGAATGACAATGGAAATTAGCCTTTTAAAATTGTTTTAATATGCTCTGCTAAACATATCTGAATTTCTTAAAATATTAAGATAAATGTTTAGGTGTTTTTGAAGTATACTAAATCTCCAGAAGCATTTGGTCTAAGTAGCTGAAAACATTTTTTTTTTTTTTCAATGCAGCAAATCTTAATTCCACTGCCTACTCTTCCTGTGGAGAAGTTTGTTTTCAGGGTCACTGATTTTTAGGAGGAAAAACCTAAAACAGAAGCAGTAGGGCAACAACTTAGAAAAATCACTTGTAATTTGTGTGTATTTAAACAGTCAAAATGCCATGAAGTTAATAATGATGATGATGATGATGATAAGCTGTCACTTAGGAATCCTTACTGCATGGCAGGAACTGTTCCAGTGATTTCACATGATTCATTTAATTCTCACCACAAATGCTATGAAGTGGTGCTATTATTATCCCCATTTTATAGGCGAGAAAACTGAGACACAGAGATATGAACTAACTTGTTCAGAATCAAATAGCAGGTGCCAAGTGACAAGGTCTGAATTTGAACTCTGGCAGTCTGAGTCTAGAATCTATATTCTTAATAATTATACAATGTTCTCTATTTTTTTTTCAGATAGTATGATATTAGTTTCAGGTGTACAATACAGTGACAAGTATACTCTTTAGTATCCCTTACCTATTTCATTCACCTCACCCTCCTCCCCTCTGGAAACTACCACTTTGTTCTCCGTAGTTAAGAGTCTGTTTTTTGCTTGTTTTCTCTTTTCTCTTTCTTCATTTTTGGCTTTTTGAATTCCACATATGAGTGAAATCATATGGTATTTGTCTTTCTCTGACTTTTTTCAGTTAGTATTGTACTCTCTAGGTCCATCTGTGTTGTTGACAATTATTCTCTATTTTAGTCCTAACTTCAGGGTGGTAGAGCATTGGTCTTCAACTTAAGGGCTCTTTTTCACATTTTAAGTCTATAATTTTTGTTTATTTTTAAAGATTTTATTTATTTATTTGTTAGAGAGAGAGAACACAAGCAGGGGGAGCCGCAAGCAGAGAGAGAAGCAGGCTCCCTGCTGAGCAAGGAGCCCGATGTGGGACTTGATCTCAGGACCCTGGGATCATGACCTCAGCCAAAGGTAACTGCTTAACCATGAGCCACCAGGCATGCCTTAAATCTAGAATTTTTAAATGCTACTAATTCAGGGATTCCAGGAATAGAACCCAAAGGTTGAATTCCTTTCTTGCCTCTAAGCATTTTGATAGTAGAAGGTATAAGAGCATAGAAAGACAGCTTCTACTGTACATTAAGAAGGTGAAGGGATATGTAGGAAGTAAATAACAATCTGATATCCATCATTATATATTTTCCTGTTGAAAATATTGTCTGTTGTAGGGCGCCTGGGTGGCTCAGTGGGTTAACGCCTCTGCCTTCGGCTCAGGTCATGATCCCAGGGTACTGGGATCGAGCCCCACATCGGGCTCTCTGCTAAGCAGGGAGCCTTGTGCTCCCTCCTCTCTCTGCCTGCCTCTCTGCCTACTTGTGATCTCTGTCTGTCAAATAAATAAATAAAATCTTAAAAAAAAAGAAAAAAGAAAATATTGTCTGTTGTGTTCATTGTCCTTTATACAGAGGGCTCTAAAGAATGTTCTACCATTTCAGATAGAAAAGAGATTTTCTCTGAAAGCAGCTTTCTTCCAAATTATCAGCTATGGATCTTTGACTCTCATGCTTCCCCTCATTGTGCCTTGGCTACCAAGAAGCCCAGAGTGACATTTTCTTCTCACTTATAACGGCTTTCTTTATATTAATTTTTCCAGTATGGCTATCCATCTTGCTCAGCACAGATTCAGTGCTGATTCTAATGGTCATGCTCAGTTTTTACAAATTCATTTTGAAAGTAGTTGGGTTAAAAACAAACTTTTAAAAAATTTCTCCAGTTTGCTTTCACCTTGAGAATCTTGAACATCTGCCTGATGGGCTTCAAGGCCATTAAGAAGGCTTTAAGTTCCTATTTCACCCATTTAACTTGTGAATGAAAACAGCAGGGAGAATCATAGGAAAAATCCATGGCTAATGTGTGCTTAACAAAGCCCCATGTACTTTGAATGAAACCAAGTCTCCTCCACACACAGGCACAAACCCCAACACACAGAGGGAGAAAATTGCTTTTGTGAAAATCTAAATTATATGATAGTTATAGACTCAGCATTTCATCCAGTTATATAAGAAAAGGGGATAATCAAGTCCTTATTAATGAGTGAGATTACTAGAGTTATTAGGTGGAAATGAATTTAATTCCATGTGAAATTGAATACATAGCCATGCATTTTCAAACATTGAAAATTTCTTTTGTTTTACATCTTATTTATAATTTATGTAATGCATAATTTTTCTTATGGCTTTCTTTTCTGTGATAAGAATCAACTTTCATGGTTCACAAGCTGCATGTCCGTTTTGTTCCTTCAAGTACTGAGATACAAGTGACCATAATTAAAACACCATTCTCAGTTGAGTGTGTGTTAAAGTCAGAGCTTCAGTTCTGTTGTTTTGAAGTTCTCCAGTCTCTGACCTCTCAGGCCTCAGAAATAGCTGAGTTAGAGTTTTGGAGTTCACATATCTTTGCTGGGAGCATTTTTCCAACCAAGAATAGCTACTTGGGCTCCGTTCTCATAATTTCTGTCATCATTACAACTTTCAAAAAAAATTTTTTTTTCAGTCGTCATATCCAGAGACGGCAAATGAAAAGATGTTTCTTTTCTACAGCGTAATATCAACAACATCAAATACAGATGTTCAAGTGGAGGACTTATTCGAGAAGCAAAAAGGTTAAATTATAAAAACTGTAGAACCACATGTTTTGATCAAATTTAGTCATACTTTTAAATGGAAAAAGTGCAACATTAATTGGCTTTCAAAAGTACTATGCACTAATACAATTTAATAATGTGGAATCTTTGTTTTGCTTTGTTTTACTTTTCTGCACAGAAACGGACCAATGGACTCCGAAGAAGCCCCAGACAGGTGGATCCAGGTGTGTTTCTGATTGCATATCTATAATCATGACTTCAGTTCAGCGGTTATGAAAGTTATGCGAATTGCTGTAGAAATCAGACAGATTGTTTGCCTTTGTTCTTGGCAGTTTGGTATGTACTGTGTGACCAGAAGGCGCCAGTCTAATGTGTAAATCATTTACCTGACTGTGCTCTCTGGGGCAGGCTCACAGGATGAGTAACACCAGTACCTGAACAATTGACTGAGCTGGTTATTTTCTTACTGAACAGCCTCAGGCTGCTGGGTTAATGCTAACATAGCTAGTGCCCTCCACCTTCTCCCTCCCAGATATGGAAAGAAAATCAACCGAGACAGCACTTAAAAATTAACTTTTCAGGGGCGCCTGGGTGGCTCAGTGGGTTAAGCCTCTGCCTTCGGCTCAGGTCATGGTCCCGGGGTCCTGGGATCGAGCCCCGCATCAGGCTCTCTGCTCAGCAGGGAGCCTGCTTCCCTTCCTCTCTCTCTGCCTGCCTCTCTGCCTACTTGTGTTCTCTCTCTGTCAAATAAATAAATAAAAATCTTTAAAAAAAAAAATTAACTTTTCAAAAAAAATTTAAAAAAAATAAAAATTAGCTTTTCTAAGGGGGTGGACGGAGCTCATAAACTAGACAATCTTGGTACCCTCTGCATTTGGGAAAATACTTTTCTTTACCCTTTATCTGTACTATTTTATAATGGAAGAATGAATTTAAGGACTTTGTGAATAAGTATCTTTCTCGGAGACCAATTATTTGTAGAGAGGATTCAGTTGTTTTCTATTTAACATCGTGAGGTTTGTTCTGTCATTGTTTTAGTTTAATTATTTTTTCATCCATTAAGCAATGCCTTCCACAGTTTAATTACCAAAGATTTGTTATGTATATGGTCATATTATTGTGGGTAAAGGGTATTCATAGCTAAAGGATTCTAAATATATGAACTTGATTAATACATCAGGTGGGACATGAAGTAACCTTGCTGGAAAATAATCTGGATTACGTGTTTTGTTTTCACATCATAAACAGTGTTCACCTAGTTGTAAAGCTTAGCTTTCAAAGCATTATAGCTCTTGACTGAAACCACACCCATGGTAGCCATGCCAGTTTATGAGCTGTTTGAAAAGATTTATAGGAGCTTTGTTGCCTCTGGCTAGAAATTGCCTCACTTATGTCCTGAAATCAGTCTAAATCTTCTAACTACAGAACAAAATTGAGGCCATTAAAGAAATGGGGGTTTTGGTTTATTTTAATAGTTCGAACTTTCCCAACACAATACCCTTTGCAGAGGATTCTGCAGTAATACTTAGAGGTGCCTTCTTCTGTTCTATTTAGTAGGACCGTATGTCTGTCCGCATATTTTTTTTTCTTATTTTGTGTGAGTTGTAGTATTTATATTTCGGAAAATGATCTAACCTTTACAAATATTATTTTTAAAATATTTTCTCTTTCTTCTATGGGCATTTTCATTTAATCCATTTTCTTCCAAGGAAATGAATTTCTATAGTGTGTCAGTAGGAACACATTTGACAGTTAACATTTTACTTTATAGCCAGAATTTTTAGGAGCCCTTAGATTATTTAAAGAGAGATATAGTGAATTCATAAATTGTAAGTATAACAAGGTTTTGACCAGTAATATGATAGTTTATCCTCAACTTGATGGCTGTGCGTAGGTTCCACTGTTCTGGTATTCTTAATTTGTCCAAAGATTTTAGAACTTCATGAAGAATAAGCTTACAAATATAAAAGAATGGGTCCTATATGTTATGTTTGTAAGAGAAAAATGCGTATACGTACACACACACACACACACAGCCCTACACACTCACATATATTGTATATCATATAGTTTTCCTTAGGTATGGTAATTATATATGAGCATTTTCTCATTTCTCCACATTTTAAGGAAAAAACAACCAAAAAGCAAAAACAAATAGTTGCCTCTTGTAGATGTTAACATGGTAACACCTTTTTTCTCCCTATTAGTGCCTTTTGATGTTAGGCTTGAATTATGTGTTTAGAGTTGGTTGTCTTTTGCATCTTTGCTCCTTTCAGTTGGTAACTGGCAAAGCTTTTTTTGTTCAGAGTTAACCCTTGCTTGATCACTGCCCTGCACTAAGTTGGTCCTGATGTAACAATCATTTAGCATACTTTCAGAGTTTTTACATTCATTCCAAGAGGTTTAAATAAGAAATCAGCAAAACCAAAGCTTCCTCAGCAAGGACAAACTGCTTCCAAGGGGTATTGTTTGCTCTTAGTGCTTCTGTTAATCTTTTCTAGCTAATTTAGTTGACATCTCCAAGTGCTAATACACTGACTGCTTTCCACAGTCAGTTACTTAGGGTGGCCTGTAGAAAAAAACAAACAAACAAACCCAGTTAACTGTAAACATTTTTTGGAAAGGAACTTAATGCATAGTTTTATGGGTAGTAGGTGCCTAATAAGTACTTGTTAAATGAATTAATGAATAGCCGTGTTCTTTTTCTGTGCACGTTGGCTCTCTTGCTTTTTAAATTCTTCCTGACAAAGTGGAATGATGTAGTCATGGAGTGCTGAATAGTCCAGTGGTAAGAAAGAAGCATGGCTCTGGGGACCCAGCGCAAGTTCTCAGTTGCTGTCCACCTGTGGCAATTTCTTTCTATCTCTCTGCTGTAGTTTCCTCATTAAAGGACACTAATCGTGGTACCTACCTTACAAAGTCGTCGTGAGCGTTGCACGAGTTAATAGGTATAAAGCACAACAGCACCAGGTATGCAGTAAATGCGAAGGGTGGCGTTGTTGTAATTATTACTTTAAGATAGAGCATGGAGCTTAATGTGGGACCTTTAGTCATGTGTAGAAGAATCAGTAATATCTGCCAGTTATTTCTTTGTAGACAGACCCAGAATTTTATGTTCATTTTCCATTGAAGCTAGAAGTTTCATAATTATAGTTGTTTTCAGATTTGCAGTTACTCCCTGCTTCTCTGGTGGATTTCCAAAATATTTTGTGTATCTTCTGTGTAAGAAGAGAAGCAATCAACAGTGGTGGCTGAGAGTTTTTTGGTGAAGCTGATGAAGTTCTAGAATATAGGTGAGGTTCAGTGGGGGTGAGGTCTGGAGCCGGTGACCAAGAATTCTTAAGACATCTTTGGTGCAAAATGGTGGTTTATTAAAGCCGGGGGACAGGACCCATGGGCAGGAAGAGCTGCTGCGGGGGTGGAGGGTGTTGAGGGATGGCAGGTTGTGTACCATGGGGTTGGGGGAAGATAAGGAAAAGGGAAGTTTCAATAGAACTTTCATATGCTAAAGAGGAGGCCTTGCCATTGCCAAGGTCCTTTTGCCCTCTAGCAGGGTATTACCATTAAGATAGTTGCGAGATTCCTAAAGAATGTCACTTAGGTCCCATCTAGGAGTGGGGGGGGGGTTTGCAAGGTGTCAGCCTTTTGCTTTGTCCTCAGCCAGATTTTTTTTTTTTTTTATAAACATATAATATTTTTTTTCCCCCAGGGGTACAGGTCTGTGAATCGCCAGGTTTACACACTTCACAGCACTCACCATAGTACATACCCTACCCAATGTCCATAACCCCACCCCCCTTTCCCAACCCCCCTCCCCCCAGCAACCCTCAGTTTGTTTTGTGAGATTAAGAGTCACTTATGGTTTATCTCCCTCCCAATCCCATCTTGCTTCATTTACTCTTCTCCTACCCCCTCCACCCCCCATGTTGCATCTCCTCTACCTCATATCAGGGAGATCATATGATAGTTGTCTTTCTACGATTGACTTATTTCGCTAAGCATGATACCCTCTAGTTCCATCCACGTTGTCGCAAATGGCAAGATTTCATTTCTTTTGATGGCTGCATAGTATTCCATTGTGTATATATACCACATCTTCTTTATCCATTCGTCTGTTGATGGACATCTAGGTTTTTTCCATACTTTGGCTATTGTAGACATTGCTGCTATAAACATTCGGGTGCATGTGCCCCTTCGGATCACTACGTTTGTATCTTTAGGGTAAATACCCAGCAGTGCAATTGCTGGGTCATAGGGTAGTTCTATTTTCAACATTTTGAGGAACCTCCAAAAAATGCTGTTTTCCAGAGTGGTTGCACCAGCTTGCATTCCCACCAACAGTGTAGAAGGGTTCCCCTTTCTGCGCATCCTCGCCAGCATCTGTCATTTCCGGACTTGTTAATTTTAGCCATTCTGACTGGTGTGAGGTGGTATCTCATTGTGGTTTTGATTTGTATTTCCCTGATGCCGAGTGATATGGAGCACTTTTTCATGTGTCTGTTGGCCATCTGGATGTCTTCTTTGCAGAAATGTCTGTTCATGTCTTCTGCCCATTTCTTGATTGGATTATTTGTTCTTTGGGTGTTGAGTTTGCTAAGTTCTTTATAGATTCTGGACACTAGCCCTTTATCTGATATGTTGTTTGCAAATATCTTCTCCCATTCTGTCAGTTGTCTTTTGGTTTTGTTCACTGTTTCCTTTGCTGTGCAAAAGCTTATGATCTTGATAAAATCCCAATAGTTCATTTTTGCCCTTGCTTCCCTTCCCTTTGGCGATGTTCCTAGGAAGATGTTGCTGCACTCAGCCAGCTTTTTGTTCCTCATCAAAGCTAGAGTAGTGTTTGTGATTGCATTAAAGAAACAAAAGAAAGGAAAACCCACCAGGTTGAAACACGTCTTGGGGTTCTGTTCAAACCAAGAAAAACGTAAGCTATAGGTTTGCACTGTGTCTTGTTAGCACATTTCAAGCACTCACTCTTGGGGCACATGGGTGGCTCAGTCAATTAAGCATCGGGCTCTTGATCTCAGCTCAGGTCTTGGTCTCCGGGTCATGAGTTCAAGCTCCATACTGGGTGTGGAACCCATTTAACACAAAAACAAAAACAAAAACCATTCACTCTTAATTAATAATTGTGGTTAATCTTTATAGAAAATATTTACAAAAGGCTTTGCAGTTTATTTTTTCTTGTCTTCTATTGTGTGCTATTTATCAATTTATGATCTCA